CATTCCCCCAGTACAGATGACAGAACAGCAGTCCAAGATTAAGGGGACAGCTCTTTAAATGACTACAGGGAGGGAAAAAGTAAAAGGAATGAAGGGGCTTCCTCTATTCTGTTCTGATTTCAGTAAGTTCTGTGTTCTTTTTTTCTAATCCTACTGTCTAAGTGAGGGAGGGAAATAAAACCCTACAGACATGCTCTCACTAATTTAACTGATAAGATAACAGAACAGCAGTCCAAGATTAAGGGGACAGCTCTTTAAATGACTACAGGGAGGGAAAAAGTAAAAGGAATGAAGGGGCTTCCTCTATTCTGTTCTGATTTCAGTAAGTTCTGTGTTCTTTTTTTCTAATCCTACTGTCTAAGTGAGGGAGGGAAATAAAACCCTACAGACATGCTCTCACTAATTTAACTGATAAGATAATATGTGGGAATGAGAAGACACTGATTCCAACTTTGGCCTACAGTCAGCATGTAAATTCATGCAAGTCACTTCAGTTCTCCATCACCAGACAGCTTTCTGAAACACAGGGATTAGGATGCCAGTCTGGTGTATAATAATAAGGCCCTCAAGTGAAAAGTAACTTATGGTAACATATGATCATCTACTTCCTTTCATCAGAAAAGCGATCTGAACTTCAGAAATGCCTTTTGGTTTCATTTAAATTTGAGACTGGGATCAGAGACAAGTAAGCAAAAGTACATACTGGGTTTACAGCCAATAGCAGTCCTCCTAGCGTGGCAACATAAAGATGATGTGGAAAAGAACTTAGACAAGGAGATGAAAACACAGCTCCACCTTCGCAGTGTAACTTCCATACACATGCCCTTTTCTGCAAGCACAAGAAAAAAGAGAAGTAAGGAATTTTTCATTTGGAGTTACAAGCTCAGCATGCTTACCAAGATCTTCCAATGGTCTTCAAGGCTTATCAAACACTCCATTTACCTAGCAAATACTAGTTAAGAAGATATAATACACACACTATTGTAGCAACACATATGCCACTGGCTACTTTCTCTTCCAGTAAATAAATTCAGCTAATGAAGAGGCAGTATCTACCCCTCTGATTTTCCATCTCCCTCCATCTACTCTTTTAGAACGCAAGGTTCTCTCTCCACCATTAAGCAGTAGTTTTACTTCTAGCTGGGCACCCTATTCTGGGACAGCCACAGAGAACTGAATAGCTATGAAACTTAAGATTTGGTTTCAACCAGGATCAGCAGCACAGCCGAGACTACCACAGAATCCTAACCCCACTTCAAGCAGGCCTAACTACTTCACACGTGGAACTGTGGACTCCTGAGAATACTAACACCAGTGGAGCTCCATCTGGCGTGGATATTCATTTTCCTGTGCATAAAAGTCAGTCAGTGTCCTTACATAAATATCCAAAGCGTACACATGTTGGTCATGTGATCCTATGTAGACTAGTCCACTGGAAGGGTCTACAACGCCAGAGCTTTTCACCGTATCTCCTGTGACAAAAGCCCAGTGTATTTCTCCATCACTGCTTTGAAGCACATACACTAAGCCATCGTAACAACCTGCGCGAAATAAAACACAACAGGGGGAGAAAGGATAACGCATGTTCGTATTCATGGCGTGACTGATGCTGCGTCACTGCTGGAAAGACATAAGATGACTCACGAGGTACAGTTTCAAAACATTTTCCAAAGCTGCTCCTCCTCTTCTAGCTCAAAGTTTTTGCTGACGGTTCACACATTCAAAGCTGATGGTCCTGTGTGTTCTTTCCCAGTTACATTGAGGATACACTTATTTCACTGCCTTTCTATCAATTTTTACAGTAATAATATTAGAAGACATGGAGAGCTACTAAAAAGGGAGAATAAGAATGGGGCTTTTTTAAATTACCTCTTTCACTTTCTGAAAACAAAGATGCTATAAGAATTAAATCTGTATGTTTTCTAGTGAAAACTGAACTGTCATTCTAGAATCTCCTTCAGTTTTAATGAAACATTCAATTTTGTTATCAAAGTAAGTAGCAAAAGACAAGCAAAAGATGGTAAAGTCAGCTTTGCATAAAAACCCCTCACCCCCTGGAGAGCTGTGCTAAGCAGTGATATACACCTGTTAGCTAAGGAGACAACACTAGGATGAGTAACAGCAGCTCCATTGACAATGGATATGGCAAAACCAAAAAACTACCCAAACATGTTTCTTTGCATTTCCAAAAAGAAGGGTCAAAGGCAGTACATAATTTTTCTGTGAAAAATAATGAGGCACCACGTACCAATTTCTACCTCTACCGATTTTTAAAGACATTTTAAGACTGTATCACCTTTCCATACTTTTTAAAACAAAACTTTAAAGGGTCACACCTTAATCAACCACTATAAAAAAACCATCCCCATTGACTATCCCTTAATCAGGCCTTATTAATAAATTGGAATATGATAAACAAGTGCATACGTTAGATAAGCTTCATCACTGGCTATCATGAAACTGAACACAATTTCTTCCTCCTGTTTCTATTTCAAAACAGGTTAGTTTTGAAGCAAATATAGAATTTTATGGATAAGTGTAGCTGCAGGGCCCTCAGAAGTAAGAAGATTCTCTGTCGTTCATCTTGTATTTAGCAGGAAAACTACTTTAACACAAAGGCTGAAACAAAAGACATACCAACAACAATGAAATTTCCACACTTTGATGCACAGGCAGAGGATTCAATGCGATCTCCAAGGTTCTTCTCCCATTTTATTTCTCCCAAATCTAGATCAACTGCCTGCATAGCATGAGAGTGAGAGCCGACATACACAGACGCAGACACTTCTTCTTGAGATGGTATCACCACCAGTGGTGATGCGTCAACACATTTCCTTGTATGTGACTTCCACCTCATGCGTAACGCCAGCTCTGCCAGTGTTCCATGACTGCATTCGGCGTGGATTTGCTGTACGGAGCAACAGTTGGGTTTATTTCCCTTGTTCGTGACAGTTAAAATTCTGTTCTCCGTCCCCTGCCCTTGCGCATGGCTTTTCATTGTACCTGGAGTCGCTGAATGCGGAACGGGTGGTTGCTGTAGCAGCTCCAATCCCACCTGGACTGTATTACCGGGCTGTACAAAAGACTTAGTGAAATTCATAGGAAAAAGATGATTTCCTCTGCTTAGCGCAATAAATGAAATTAACCTTGAAGCAACCTCAAGAGTTCTTTCAGATTTCAGTTTAATGTATTTTTCATGGAATTCCTCTCCACTGTTCCCACTTAGTTTTCTTTTCATGGCATTGTCATAATGCATTGATTGGTCTTCATCTGGAAACAGAATTTTAAGAATATGTCTATAGATCTCTTCAATCGAGCGGCTGAGAATAACTTCAAGGAGTCCAGGCACAGTTTTTCCTACTAGCAGCTCAATTTCATCACAAAACCGCAGAGCCTTTAAGGAGTCTCCACCACTGTACAGAAACATGCCATCTTTAGAAATTCCAGTGGAATCACCCAGGAGACCAAGAACAGACTAGAAAAAAGAAGGACGAAAGAGGTAACAGTCGATGGGTAGTACACCACGTCTCACATACAAAAAACCTCACCTTGGGTAAAATCTACCTGAATACCCAGAAGTCCCACTAAAAATTAACAACTGAGGAAACTCACTACTCCGAAGAAAAAAAAAAAAAATCACATGAAGCATGTTAATGCCAACAGAGGTAGTGATGGAACAAGAGTTGGGAAGGAATGAGGAAACAAGGAGATACTAGATCTGTACTATGGAATGTTTTACCCCATTCCCATTCTGCAGTCTAAGGTATTAAAGCAAATTGTGCTGAATTTCTGTTGGCTGTTTTCAACCTTGATAACATTTATCACTGACAACTTCACAGAGAAGACACTGATGCTTTTTGATAAAATTGGTTAGGTGCTTTATTTTATTAATAAAACTTAGATAAAAGATACCTTTGACTTCTGAATTATTTAAGTGACCTACTTACTACCCACTTTTGAAGCTATAACCCCTTCAATTCACGGGGGATTTTGGATTTGGCACTGTTGCTATAACAAACAGCGAGTACTATGTCTCCTCTCACTGCACTGCCTGCTTGCTAAGCCTGGGGGTGAAGTCCAAATCCTCTGGTTTTGGAAGCTGCCTCCTGCTGTCCATAAGGGGTCTAGGGCACATCCCATCCCTTTGGGTTATCATTTCTATAGTCAAGCAGTACAGTAACTATCAGCACAGGCAGACTGTGTGGCTAATTTCATCACATGTACTCATTCGAGCCCTAGCCACTGCGAATTCCACTTCCAGGTGAAACTTGGAAGTCTGTCTTTAAGAAAAAAAAAAAAAGAAAAACAAACAACTGTTTGGCATCACATTTCAGCACCTTGAAAAACAAGTCTTTAGCATGGAAATTTAGAAACGACACAAACAGACAGTCCAAGAGACAATTACGCAACTGTGCCATCTATTTTAAAAAAGATGCTTTGATTCATAGTTATCTCGAGAAATAAGAAACTCTACTAACACAGTAACTATTTGGTACCAAGTTTCCATGTCCCAGTTCCCTGCTTCCCTTAGGGATACCTTCTTTGGCATGTGAAGCAGTATTCAAAAAGCTACTGACAGGTTACGTCCTTCCTATGCCAACTGCCTATAGCCTGCAGTTTTATCTGAGAGAGAAATATAAATGACTCCCTCCTGCCCACTGCAGAGCGACTGTATTTAAGTACTAACTGAACAGAAAGAGCTTAAATCTATAGGCAGCTAGAATGTTCTGGTTGCATTAGTCACACTTCTTAAAACTGTTTAATTCCTGACACATTTATAATGATCCACTTGCAAAGATAAAAAGGCAGCTCAAAATACTACCTTCCATAAATACTGCAATCTTTCCCACAATTCCTCTGCGCCACTCAGCTTACTGTCACGCCTTCTGGAGATTAGATGGTTCTGGTAAATCTTGTTCAGTTCAGATATATCAACTTTGCCTTTGTAGAAAATAAAGTACGGTTTTTTTCATGGCTCTTTTAGCATTTGCACTTCCAAAACTTGCTCTGCACAAACAGTCAATCGATTCCTGTCCACACTTCCTTATTAATACTCAACTGCACCTGTATTGATTTTTTTTTTTCCCTAGGCAATCAATGACACTTAACAGAACCCAGTAAGGTTTTTGAAATTTTACCCTAGCCTCCCACACAAACCCCACCTTCAGGGCCTGATCTTTCCTCAGCTGGAGTCAAGGTTCTGTTGCAAACTGCAACAGGATCTACTGAGAAAAGAAATGTGCAGTGCTAATGCTAAATTGATTTGACTCTCAAATAAAACATTATCAAGAAAACATAATACATAGTCATCACTTCCTTCCAGGAGTTAGTTATCTAATCTATGCATTTAAAAAGCATGAATCAGGTACCGGATTTTGGTCAACTAGAAAATAAATATAGAGACCATTAAAATACGTAGCAAGAGTACTTAATAGTTTCGCTTACCATGTGATGTTAACGGCAAAGCTTTGATCAGTACAAGCTCATCAGGGACAGCATGAGCTGGTAGACGTTTCTGGAGTTCTTTAAGTGTTTCTCTCTGTTCTAAATGATCTTTGGGTACAACAAACAGGATAAGTTTTTCCTGCACCAGGTCACTGCACAAGCTTCCACCTGACAAAGATCTTCAGCGGCCTGTAATTAAAAAACATTAGTCTTGCTTTGAAATGCAGTTCATCAAGTGTAAAAGAAGTAAACCCCACAGTTTAAAAATGTACACATTTAAAATAAGTATTTGTCTCACATTCCTACATAATGTCCTATGACATACCTTCTCCTGCAACTAAAGTTTGTTCTTCTTCACATAAAAATGAACGTATTTTTGCCTAGATGCCACGAATCACAGAATCACAGAACGGTTTGGGTTGGAAGGGACCTTAAAGACCATCGAGTTCCACCCCCCCTGCCATGGGCAGGGACCCCTTCCACTAGACCAGGTTGCTCCAAGCCTCATCCAGCCTGGCCTTGAACACTTCCAGGGATGGGGCATCCACAGCTTCTCTGGGCAACCTGTCCCAGTGCCTCCCCACTCTCTGAGAGAGAATCCCTGAGTGTGACATTCAGTCTTGCAGAACAATCACTGTACAAGCACAGCAGTGCAACACTCGGTATTTTTCAGGTGTTTATACAGTTCTTAATTCTGCTGGAAGAAACCATACAATAAAACAGATATCCAAGAACTCAGAACCAAACTCCTCCCTAAACTGTATGACTAGATACTTGGTAATACACTCTCCTTAGGGTGTACCCTCCTCTTTAAGACTCTTAAAGTTTATCTGAAGAGGAGTAAATACCATTTTTGATGATAAGGATGAGTTCCTTATCCCTGCTCTTTTATCCTGGTGTACTGTACTCACTAGATGTTATATTACCTGCTGCAAACACTCAATATTAAAACGTTTGCCGTGACGTTTAATCTGATTGTCTTTCCGACCCAAGAAGAACAGCTTTGAATTCTGCACTCTTACAAAATCCCCTGTTGCTCTCATTGTGCCCAGGGGCACAGTGACTTCATCATCAAGAAAGCAGATTCGTTCTTCACCGCCTACACAAGAAAAGATTGAGGTCACATACATTAAATGGTTAACCGTAAATGAAAATTATAAAGAGTATTTTATCAAATTCTCCTAAACTCTAACAAGCATGGTAGGTAGTACTAAAAGATTGGTATCAATGTCTTAACTGCTGCAAAGCGGGCTAGGCAGTTAATTCAGTTAATACACAGATATTACTTCAACTGAGAATATCAAAATGCAAGCAGGAAAAAAAAAAGCAATATAATGAAAGCACATTCTGATAAAATGATGGTAATTTCCTGTTCATCATTCAACCTAAAATACCATCAGAAAAGGTCCCAGCCCAATAGGAACTGAAAATGCTATATTAATCTGTACATCAGAGGCAGACACCAAGTAAAATAATCAATGTAATACTAAAACTCAAAAAATTAAGAAAAGTATCTTAGAAGAATAAGAAATATAAAATAACCTATAAATATTTGTCCCTCGCCTTCTAGAACTGCAGAGCCGTTGGTATCTCTGACCTCAACTTTAGTTCCAAGGAGTGGTGATCCCAAAGGGACAGGGAAATCAGTTCTGGATATATGAAAGACAGAAATAGTAAGTTTTCTCCTTCTGAACACAAAACAACTGTTCCAGAAATGAGTGAGCATACAGTCTTTGAAAGGGTTGGTATTAGACTGAAAGTAAGTGCTTGGGGCTTCTTTTTACAACTGTTTCTTCTTCAAAAACAACTCCATTTGTTCAAACTTAAAAACCTCATCAGTGTGCACAGGTTTCATTTTCATCTACTAAAAAACCCCAGAATGATAGAAATTAAGGCTTAAACGGACCCTGAAATACCCTGAGAGTACCCCGAGAGTTTCAGCCAATTTTTAAGTCCCCGAGGTTGAAACTTCCATCAAGTCAACCAATTTAAACACATGGAACTGCTTTCTAATTAATTCTTTCCCTGTTCTACCTAGTTTGAGCTTTTATTCTTTTATTACTGATGTTGTGGCAACAAGTACAGTTGACTCTTTCAGAAAAGACTGAAATAGAAGACACTAACGTCAATGTCACGTATCTGTTACAGACTTCTTTTGTCGAGCTCCAGACCCGCTCCTTCCTTTCCCTTCTTCTCAGCCTCTCTAAGCACTGGCAGAGCCTCATTTATTGAATATGGGCACTATTTCTGAGTGGGAGTAGAGTAGAATATATTTTCCTAAGTTAAGCAACATTTAAAAAGCCAAGTAACTTTAAATATCTGGTAATATATGAAGTCAGGCATGGGTTCCAGTTCAGTTTCTATCAGAAAGTCTCACATTTTAACCTAGCAGTTCTTGTTCAACTCCTGTTATTTAGGCTGTCACCTAAAGTCACACCTCCTTTTCTCTGACCAGTCAATGAATTCCTTATCTCAAGTTGACCAAAAAGCAGTCAAATTTTGTAAAACGTGTATTACTGCCAAATCATAGAATCATAGAATGGTTTGGGTTGGAAGGGTGAGAATCTTCTCCTTTTCCTTCTTCTGGTCAGCTTCACAATATAAATTATTAACAAACAGATATGAGAAAGCACACCAGATATTCGCTGTGTCTGCCCCATGCCATGGGAAAGTCCCAACGCAAAGACAAAACCAAAAAACGGGAGTTTGACAACAACAAACAAACCCCCAAGATTCCTCTATATACCCTATAACTGCAAAGACAACCACCACTTCATTTGGCCATTAAGGGACTTGAGATTAGGCATTTAATTTTGCGAAACTTATCCAAAATACTGAGGGATGCAGACCACTGAGGCACTAACTTTGTGCTGGTTTTATTTATTTATTTATTTTATTTTCTAGTGTTTTCTAGAAACTATGCCAGTTTTCATCATTCAGCTAGCAAAAATAAAAGCACACTGTACTCCAACCATCCTACCAGTTCTAAGAAACGAAGACATAAAATGGTCTGTCCTGGTTTTGTTGTATCTGGGGCTGCTTACTGCAAAAGAACCCAAATTCCCTTCGCAATGAGGCTTAGATGGAACGGGTGAAGGGTGGGAGGCAACAGTCAGAGACTATAAAAACCTCCATCATTCTAACTGCACACCAGTTGGGACTGAAGAACAACACATTATCCTTGGAGCACAGAAACTTTGAGTAGAAAAAAATCAGTTTCACTGAGGAGAAGGTAATGTTTGAACTCAGAGAAACTAGAATGAAAATTAGTTTTGCATGATAATTTAATAACACTTCATGACCATTCACCGTCTTCAGCCTTCAGGGGTTTAAGCACCAGGTTAATATATTGCATCGTTTGTCCAAAACATCCTATCTCATAGCACACATCCAACTGAAGTCGCATGTGTAATTATCATGCTAGGGAATAATTACACATTTCAGAGAGCTAACTGGAAGTACCTTTCATGACCTTGTCCTGCAACTCGCTTCATAAAACACAATGAACAAGAAAAAGTTAGCAATTGAGTGAAAATGGCAGAGTGCTAAATGATGAGAAGAAAATGCTTCTGGAAATCCAAGTAAAATTACCGTGAGACCTTGGGTGAGCCACTTTGGACAAATTTCTGTCATCCATACTAGTTGAGTAATATCAGTGGGATCATTTGCTGAACAGTTATTATCCAATAACAGGAGAAAAAACCAGTACCTAGTCTCCCCTTAATCAATTATTTGTGGCTTTTTAATCTCCAGGCAAAAGCATGGTAGCAGTAAGAAAGACACATATACCCACAGATAACACCTGAATGTAATCTTTGAGCATTTTTGCTTAAAGTAAGTAAATCTCAAGTAACATTCTGAACTTGACAGAGCTCAGCTCTGTCTTTTTTCCAAGGCTATGATGAAGAACTAGACAGCCCCATTTCTTTACTCTCACTGAGAGCTGTGGTAGGTTTCTTCTCATGCCAGGTCTCACTGGAAAAGCCTTGTGATGGGCAAGAGCATGGCTAACTGAAGTTACAAGCCAATTGGGTGGGAGTCATTTGCCTGACTTGAGACTGCCACAGCACACCCTGGACTAGGCTAGTCCACATTCAGCATGTGGGATCACAGGCTGGAATGAGGAAGACATCTAGATAGAGAGATGACTAAAACAGAGACCATCACAACACACTGTGTGAAACTTAACAGGTCTACAAGTCACAGAATTTCAGACAGCAGTTCTGTCCATCAAGAATCACTCACCAACAGCAAATGGATTAGTCTATTTCTGCATAAAAAACAAATGTAACTTCTACCAGCATAAACACCCATGAGGACTCAGTAGCCCTGGAAACAGGAGACAGAGGTTCTGTTTCTAGTGATTTTAATCATTCACATGCCAAGCCATGAAAACAGTGAATTTTCCTACCTAAAATCATCACTAAAAACCTCTTCAGGAATCTTGTAGCAAGTAGCCCAGCTTGACACTTCAGTAATACCATACAGATTGAAAATACTTGTTTTGTTCTCCTTGTGCTTCCAACTTTTCAAGAGATTCAGTACAGGAAACACTTCACCACCAAGAGCTAAGACACGAAGTGAAGTATTTGCAGACAAGACTGTTGATTTAATAATGTGAGCTCCAAACCTTCTGAGAAGCGTCGGTGTTGCCTGAATGACACATATTAAAAAAAAAAAAAAAGAAAAACATCTATTACATTTTTTCAGTATATGTGTACCCCTCTTCCTGCTTTACCACATCCACTGTAGAGCTATACTGTGGATGTACTTAATCATCTGCGTGTAGCAGATGGCACCAACCATCAGATACCAGTACAGATCACGCTGGCGCTTTGCGAGGTTTTGTTTCTTAAGTGAAGCCATGAATGAGCACTATCAGCACCAATCTATGTGCTGCTGCAGCTTCTCGTTTGCTTAGACAGTTATGGGTTCCCTGCTGTGTCTCAGCTGTTACCTAAAGGGTATGTGCATTAGTTCAAATGTTATTTACCTTGAAACAGAAAGCTGCAAACCTGGTATTCTCTTCATGTTACTGCTTGAGCTTTTTTCCTCCTCATTCCAGCATGTTACAGCTAAAATACAACCTACACAACTGATCAACCTTGCGTACAGAACATTTAAAGACCTTTCCATAACACTAAAACTTCCTAGGGTGCCAGATTCTGGGTTGTTCCCTATATGTGGAAACACAACAGTCTACAAAGATTAGGGTGTTTTTAAAGCTTTCACATCACACTCTAAAATAAGGGGGAAAAAAAAAAATCTTCCTTAAATACAACTACTTATATAAAACTATTGGTGATGTTACCCAGAGAAGCTGTGGATGCCCCACCCCTGGAAGTGTCCAAGGCCAGGCTGGATGAGGCTTGGAGCAACCTGGTCTAGTGGAAGGTGTCCCTGCCCATGGCAGGGGGGTTGGAACTAGATGGTCTTTAGGGTCCCTTCCAACCCAAACTGTTCTGTGATTTTATGTAGAGCCCTTTCACTGAAAGGAAAAACAGCACATCATTTTAACAGACATACTTCACTCTCATTCGTTCTGTGATTCTATGTAGAGCCCTTTCACTGAAAGGAAAAACAGCACATCATTTTAACAGACATACTTCACTCTCATTCTTTCCTACATTTTCTAGTAAGCGGACTGGAAAATTAATGGAATTCTTTCTTGACCATTGCTGTTCAACTGATCATTTTAACTTTAGTGAATTATAGTGAAAAAAGAAGAGAGAAAAAAAAAACAAACCACTCTTCCCCTCCCTCATAATCACTTCAGAATTCTCAAGTATGCTCAAGCAAGTCAAAAGGGGTAGGGATTTTCTTGCTATAATTTAAGAAACATCATAAAATTATTCTTCATTAGTTAAACAACAAGGAGAACATTTTTTACATTAATTCAGCTGAGAACTGTCATAAAGACAGTGATCAGAAAAAATCACAAAATCAAACTTTTCTTAGAAACACATCTCAAATACCTTAATTCACCAAATTTTGCCTTTCTCTATTAATGCTTAACACACTTTAAAATATATGCAACTTAAAAAGTGTTAAAAACATGCTTTAAGATCTTACTAATAGAGATTAATATATCTGATTTATTTTTCTAAAAGCAAGTGCACTAAACTGGTCAAGAAACGTATATGACAGGAGAACCTACATCATCAAGATTTACAGCAATCATAATAAATAAAAATAAGAGCAGTGACTAAAGTTACAAAATCATTGTTAACTAGGGGATTTTTTTCTGCTGTGGAATCTTCAGCCAACTACTCACTAATCTTAAATTTATACCCTACAATCTTAACTACCACCATTCCTCCTAAAGACAAGGAAATCTCAGCATTTCTGTGAGTACAGATATTTCAAAATTAAACATTAATGACAAAGCAAGGCTTAGGGGTTGATTTATCACAATTAATAGACTAATCAGACCACACTCACTTTGTTCCAAGTCAGTTACAAGTGAGACCCATTGCACAGAATCATAGAACTGATTATGGAAGGAATCTTCCTTTAAGGAAGGGACCTTAAAGACCATCTAGTTCCAACCTCCCTGCCATGGGCAGGGACACCTTCCACTAGACCAGGTTGCTCCAAGCCTCGTCCAGCCTGGCCTTGAGCACTTCCAGGGATGGGGCATCCACCCTAATTTCTAGCAATTCTTCCCCCCACCCCCTGATCTACATACACTCAAATAATATTTTATATACTTGTTTATATACTCAATGAATAGTTCTACAAAATATCTCGTTACACTGCAAGGCCAGGGCTAGGCTTATTCAGCGACGCTGGATGCTCATAACTCCAAGTGAAGTTTTCCAAAATGAACTTCAGAAGTGTTAAAATTGAGATCATGCAGGAGATGATCTATTCCAAGACACTGGGGGCATATGAAGCCTCATATTAACAGGTGGCCTAAAACCACTAAGTGTTGCTGTGGAATCAATTATTCTCTTGCTCTCATTACTGTAAAAACGACAAACATTTTATCACCCTATAAATGGCACTGGTTTCGTTGTGTATTTTTAGCACAGAGACAACCATTAAAACTTGAAAGTTGTTTATGAGGAAAGGCTCTAAGATTAAGCCCATTAAAAAGCGTAACAGATTACTCCCCTTCTAGATTCTTCAGAACTAACTGCTTAATTAACAGAATAATTTAAGTCTTAAGAATTAACGGTTTCTGAGGACGACTGTTGGTTTTATCTTTAGTTCATTCTTTTCAGCCTCAAACATTTTGTGACCTCGATCAAATGGTAATTTTCTAAACAGCTAACACTCTACAGCGAAAAGGATAGCACGAGCTATGCCTCCAAGGAAGAACACCCCTGCTCTGCTATCATTAGCATCCAGGCAGGTGAGCAAGTACTACTCATGAGCAAAGATGAGAAGCAAGACACTGAAAGACACTTCTCTTGGGTGCTGCCTACCTGCAACACTGTCACACGGTGGTGGCGAAACAGAGCAGCAGACAGCTCCACCGGCATCATTTTAATAGTGTTCGGTACAACGAGAACAGAGGCCCCACTTGTCAGGGCAACGAACAGTTCAACCACAGATGGGTCAAAAGTCAGAGGAGAAGCCAGGAATAGCGTATCGTCCTGTGTGATCTCAAATATGGATCTAAAATAAGAAAGCTAGGAATTACCAATCTGATGCACGTTGTTGATTTCCGAGCGGGCAGAGCAGCGTGACCACAACGCGCTTTAGCAAAGGTGAGGTCTTAAGGGCTGCTCCAAATAAGACGGGCACATGCAGGCCGGACAGTTTGAGCAAGAGCTCCCCCATCAAGACTGTAACTATGGATTATACTAATACGGTCCTTTACAAAGCCATCCACCACCTTACCGACCAACACAGTGGGCTGAGAGGCACATTTAAACTCATGGATGCTCATTTAAAAAAAAACAATATGCAAAAAACACCATAAAAGGTGGTATTTTCCAATATTTAAAAAAAAAAACCAACAACCAACTAAATGAAACAGAAAGAAACTCATGCAGCATAAAAAAGAACGAGGACTTTAACAATGAATAATTCACTTTGTGGTATTCTGGCTTAAAAGTAATAGGTAACACTTACAGCAACAGCATATTATTTGAAGCACACCCCTCAAAAATTCAGGTAAAGGACCATTTAAACATTAAACATAACATTTAGAGAAACAAAATTTTATATGATGCTATTTAGAAACAACAAAAACAATCACAAAGAAACCTGAAAAGACAGGGAAGGAGGAAGAAGGTGTGTTAGCAAAAACCTACACTTCTCTGACGCATTAAAGAGTCCCTAAATGTCAAATTTGTAAAAGCATTTAAAAGGAAAACTGAAAGCCACACTTACTTAAGATGCTGAATATTTGGCACTATACATTTATGAGGCACTCTGACAATTTTGGGGATCCCTGTAGTTCCTGATGTATGCAAGACGTACGCTAAAGGATATTTCTGGCCAACTTTGACTGGATCTGTGCAAACGGTGGATCCTGGCTGTGAGTTACTCCTGGCTTTGAAAGGTTCATATTTACTTTCCTCATTGTCAACTTGTGAATTTAAATCCGTGTTGCCCGAGCTCAGTTGGAAGAGAGTTAAACCAATATGTTCTATGGTGGAAGAATTGAGGTAAAACCAACCCAGATGGGATGTGCAGAATTTCTGTAAAAGAAAACAAACAATTTGAACAGCATAATTCAGGACACGTGGTTATTGTTCCACTGCATGCAATGAAATAGGAAACAGCTTTTCATACAAATAAGCTGTGATCTTTCATCTCTCTCCTTTTGGAGGGCACACATCAGACAGTTTTAAGCTCATGTGTTTTTTATATTAAATATGAGTGAACACATTTTATAAACTATGAATAAACAATTTTCTAAACAAATAATGAAAAGGAAAATACACAAAAGAACTCTGCAGAAAACAAAGAACTCGGAATTGTAAGTCAATGTTCCAATCTAGTCTATTCCCTTTGCAGTGAGGAAGGGTATAAGATTTGGGAGGAGCGGGACAAAATTAAACCAAATTAAATGCAGGAGTTATTTTCAATTACCACCGTGTTCCAACTCTGAACCCCGACCTATGAAGAAACAAGCCTGGAAAAACCACACTCTAACAGGAAAGTAGGCAATTTTTTTGAAGTGGAGGTGAAGCACTTTGTACTTCTAATTTTAAAGACATTCTTTTCTGAATGAGAAAGACAACTTCTTAATTTGAGGAAACAAAAGAACCCTATCCAAGCTCATTAAAACAGAATACAATCCGAATAGCTACACATTTCCAAACTGCCCTTTAATGCCTCCTCTAGGAGCCTGAACACTTACATTGATTTTGTCATTCTCAACAAGAACATACTGAAGATTGCTTTTCTTCATGAAGTGAGTGGATAACACCGGTGGTGCATCTGGATCAATAGGAGAATACGCAGCTGGAACCTGCAGGATTCTAACAAGACAAAAATGTTTTCACCTTATTTTTTTTTAAAAACATAAGAAAATCATCTTAAATTTCACTAAAATTTCTTTTCTAGCTCCCAGAACCAGAAAATGTATTCATAACATGACTTTCAAAGATTTTATGGGAAATAAAGTAGGAATAAAATTATAATCAGTGTTGCCTTTTGGTATTTTAAAGCTAGATGAAACCATTCAATATTACTTCTTGCCAAACAGCTTGGTGATGACACGGCTATCACTGCAATCAACAGCACAGCATTTTAAAAGCTTCTGCTATTGACTAGTAACAGAAATATAAGCTTTTCATTTATACATGTACTACACAGAATCATTTAGGTTGGAAAATACTCTGAAGATCAAGTCCAACCCTTAACCTAACTCTGCCAAGTCCACCACTAAACCATCTTATGGAGCGCTGCATCTACTTCTGCATCTCAAATACCTTCAGGGATGGTGACTTAACCACTGCCCTGGGCAGCCCGTTCCAGTGCCTGACAGCCCTTTTCATGAAGAAATTTTTCCTAATATCCAATCTAAACCTCCCCTGGCGCAACTTGAGGCTGTTCCCTCTTTTCCTGTCACTGGTTACTTGGGAGAAGAGACCAACACCCATCTCTGCACCCTCCCCTCATGTAGCCGTAGAGGGCGACAAGGTCTCCCCTGAGCCTCCTCTTCTCCAGGCTGAACACCCTCAGCTCCCTCAGCTGCTCCTCACAGGACTTGTGCTCCCAACCCTTCCCCCGCTTTGATGTGTAAGCATAGTAAAAAGAGCACCAAAAGCCTGCACACCGAAAACACTTTCTGTTCTCACTAAGGAATCCAGCGTAAGAGAACCTGAGCACGTACCGGAGTTTTTTCCCTAATAACCAGAGGAACACGAAGTTCTATCATTCTGCTATCATTACCTGCACTGTAATGCCTCCTCCAGTTGATAATTCCCATCACTCCCTCTAGTGGCTCCATTCGATAAAGACAAGCACTTGAATTCATGAATGCCACAAAAAGCCAAGATGAGTAAAAGGCAACTAAACCACGAACGTTTCCCATAAATCTTCACATTTCTTCTAAGGCTGGGTTCCCACATACAATTCGTTACACTTCCTCTTTGTGCAAGTGATTTATCACTGCAGTAACGAGGAGATCCAGAAGGAAGGCTTGGAAACCGCAGCGTTCTGCGTTCCCGGAGAGCCACTGCTATCAGCAAGCACCCAAGCCAGCCCTGCATCACACCCCGCAGTTAATCACTCGCTCAGCAGCCACAGCTCTAAGGGTGGAAACACCCTGGTATCTCCCAGTCACACAGCTACAGAAAACCGTGCTGCTGCTCAGTTCACTGGGACACAGGATAAATCAGGTTGGAAGGGACCTCAGGATGCCGAGTCCAACCTCCTGCTCCAGCAGGAGCGACGGCTGTGACACCAGAGCAGGCTGTTCAGCAGTTCAGCCAGCCAGGTCTTGAAAACCTCCAGGGACGGTGCCTGCACATCACCTCTGTGCGACCTGCTCCACTGCTGGGCTGGGGGAAGTGTTCCCTGGTCACTGAGAAAGTTCCTCAGCGCTTCTGGAAGGTTTATGATTACAGCTCTTGCTGACACACCACCTAAATCTTTAGTCAACTGTGATACGTTTTCTTGCATTACTATGTCATTTAGGTGCAGTGTGACAACAGGAAAATGCCGACACCGATCACTCGCCTAAAAGGCACAACTACTGCTGTACACATCAGCTAAGAAAACCTGCTTGCGACGCTGGGATACTCTATTACGTCATAAATGTAATGAATATAAAAGGTTAAATATAAAAAGGATAAAAACAGTAGAATTCATCAGTAGAAGTAGGATATTTTAACCTGGTGAATTATGCTGAGTGTTGGGACCACAAACATTTCCATTTCCTAGCCATTAAATAATTAATGTCACTTTAGCGCTGCACTGACCACTACTTTTTTTACAATATTTGTAATGGAACTCTAACGGTATAAGCTTAAAGCTTCTCAATTAGCTTAAAGCATGACATCTATTTTCAATGCATCTTTTTATTTTTAGGCTAGCAAGGCAAGAATACATTAAAAACCTGCACGCTCATTTTACTCTGTTAGATCACCTCCATTTTTAAACATGCACAACAAAGACACTAATAATTTATTTTTTATATTTCTATTAATATGCTTAAGCATACGCTTTTTAAAAAATGGACATAGTAACATACACATGAGAACAGTGAACTTAAGATTCAAAAACCTTTGCCAGTGGCTTTTCAAGATATCATGATCTTTAAGGTCCCTTCCAACCCAAACCATTCTATGATTCTATGAATGCAAGACTCCAGTACCTCTTGGCTGCATTATTATGGTATTATAGCAGGTTTCGTGTTATTAAAAATATAAACAAACTGAAAATTTGCTTTAATAGAGATGGCCCTTAAAAACCCAACACAGAGCGCAAGCATTCAAACCATTACCCTAAGATCCATGATGGTAAGTTTATTCCTGGAGAGCAGTAAAGGCCTATTTCACATTTTCCTTGCTGATCACAGTGCTTGTGAAGGAAAGCTGTTAATTCCACAGCAAGCTTAACCACCGTTGCATATGTGTAAGAAATTGGAGCTTTGTCATTGCATTCATCAAACCAAACCGCTTTTCTATCCGGGTACAGGCTAGCTGCCCGCTTCACCATCTCCTGAAGAGTCATCTCAGCTGCACATCTTCATCCCTCTGAAAAATGAACACACCAGACCGCATCACCACCTAACTTTTACTATTTTAGTCAAATTACATAAGCATGCAGAACACTACCAAGCAGAGAACAAGACACTTGGCAGAACACACACAGCTTTGCCACAACTTATACTGCACAAGTGTAAAGTTTAACACTTGCATTGTTTACCACGGGTTTCACCCGAGGGCCCGGGATACCTAATGCACTGAGATTTCATTCCACAGAGGTGGCTTGTTCCTCACAATTACACCTTTATTTTTAATTCTGGGCACAACTGAATTAATAACTCTATTAACACAGTTTCATTGTTAATTTTTTCTTTAACCGCACTGTGAAACACAGATCTTTCCTCGGCAGGCAGAAAACCCAAAGGCCCTACTGCCAAGGCTTTCAGGCTGCTGCACGCCTCTGCCCGGCGGGGTCCCCCTGTCACGCCCGTACCGGATGACCGAGTACGGCGCCCTCTCCCCGCCGCCGCGCCAGGGTCAGGACTCGGCAGCGGTCCCCAGCGAGGACAGGCGGCTGCTCCACACCCTCGCCGCGTTCAAAGCGCCCCGTTCCTACAC